GGAGATTTCCGTTCCTTACAACCATTGTTCTATGCACATATTTTATGTAATGGTTTTGTAAAAATACATTGAAACTTGATTGGAAGTCAGAGAAACAAGCTTAAGTAAAAGAGTTTTGATACCCTTCATACAGATTTAACTGGAAAGGGCAAAGATACACTTACTTCTTGCAATATTTTTTGTCTGAATTTCTCTACATCTCTCAGTATTGTAGTCATTTTCTCTTGAGGCCAAGGAAGATGGCTACCAGCAGTCTCAAATCACTTCATTGTGAAGAAGACATTTCCCAAGTCTGTCAATCCCAAGAAAGACAGATTGGCCATGCTCAGATTATGTTTCTGTAGTCCTGATCCAATAACTATGACCAAAGTAGTAAGGCCTAATTAGTTTGGACAATGGACCCACTCCTATTATGAGACAGAGTCCTGTGATCTTCAGCCCCACTAAGCCTACCTGGAGTAGAGAAGTGGTTATCCACAGGATGGAATGCTATGTATATTTACCTACAGTAATAAAGAAGAGACTTATTTTTTCCGCCAGCTATTTAAAGTCAAGTCTTAACATCCAGGCTTTTTAGATATTTTAAGGTCACAATACATGAAAATAGAACTAGCTTAAATTGTGTTTAAGCATTCACAGAAATGTCTAAAAATGAAATGGTCATACTACCTATTTGAGCCATACCCAGTTCTACTTGTTAGGTCTTTCACAGAGGCAAAAAAAGAAAATGAGAAGGGAAGGATTTTAGATTAATAAAATCTATGATGCCCAGGACTACTGCTGCCAGTTACTATCTGGATGAGTTATATAACTTCTCTATGCCTCAGTTTTCTCATATGTAAAATGAAATTAATACCACTCATGTAATAGAGGTGTATTTAAGAACAAAATGGATTTACATTTGAAACTCTTAGGCCAGAGCCTGGCACATAGTAAGTACTCAATAAATTATAGCTGTTTCTCATTCGCCCCTATATCCTCAGCTCTTAGAATGATGCCTGGAAAATAGTAGGTGTTTAGTAACTATTTTGGTAACTGAATGCAGACATTCCAATTTTAGCTGCTATGTTTGTTCTGCCTTTATCTCCTGTATATTAAAAGGATAGTAAATTAATAATTTTTCCCAATATTTTAAAGGAAATGTCTTTTTTCCCTACCATCTTTCCAGATGATTTGAGGTCATGATGTGATGAAAATTAGAGCTAATAGAACACTTTTGTAAACCTTTTATTGAACTTCGTAGGTAAGAAGTGTTATCTTTAAGAAATGGCTTTTGGAAATAATTATTAAACCATCTCTTGAGATCATCGGGTTGATGGCAAAGACAAGAAAGGGAAGATTTTTGTGCTAACATAGTCATACAATATTTAGAAAATTCTCAAATTATAACTTATAATGGTTTATGTTTATTTTATTTTACTACTTTATGAGGGTAATGTTAAACAACTAAATGTAACTTTTTTCCCCTGCCAAGTTACCAACATCTATTTCCAGATGTCTGAATAATTTTAAGAGAAACTTTTTTTGTTGTTGTCAGGAAAGGTGCATTACTGCATTCTAGTTGGTCAGGTATTCGGTTAGCAAAGTTCTTTCGACATTGATATTTTGGGTTGTTTCTATTATTAGCCTATTTTTGTTTAGCTGAGTGAAAGAAATGGATTATTCTTTTAAATGAAAAATGATTTTTTTAGTTTTCTAGAATATTTTTATGTCTACAGAAATGCTAAATAATTTTATTAGAAAAATTTAGTTAAGTATGCATCTTAAATATTCTTATAATTAAAGAATGGAAAAATAATCTATAGCTGGGTCATCAAACAATAGTATGTATACTCCTAGGATATTCAACTTTCCAAAGAATGTGCAGGCTTAGATAGCATTAAGGGGATCCAGCACCAGATTCTCAATTCCCATATGTACTCTTGTTAAAACTGATCTGCCTAAAGAATATTTCTATGCTCAATGGTTTATGCCAGTTCTCCATTTTTTTCTTCTGCCTTTTTATAATCACCCATCCCTGCTTTACAAGAGAAATCTATAGCAGGTTATATTTTTCAAAAATAATCCCAGTAGTATTTCAGATCTCACATACTCCACTATAACCTTGCCATTACCCTCCCAAGAAAGGGAATTATGTCCCTTCCCTTTAACCTAAACAGACTTTTCCTTCCTTTCTACCAAGGAAGTATGGTGGAAGTTTGTGTATTTTCATTATGGGTGAAGTGTTATATTGGAATGGGTTATATTGGCCCACATGGAGATGTTCAGAATTTAGATGTGTTGTCAAGTAGAGAGATAGAATGATGACAGTTTTTGTTTAATGACCTTGCCTTTTTTATCTCTCGTTTATGCAAAAAAGTCATTTCTCCTGTGGGTGAATAGTGTGAAAGTAAAGCAAAGAGAGCATGAGGGAAAGGCACCTTATTTTTAAGTAACAGAAGGTCGCTTGCCTCATCTATCTTAGAATTAAAATATTCAAGATTGGTATAAAAGCATGATGGATTTTGATGAATCTGCTATCAAGCAAACTGTCTTCACCATTATCAATAATTGTAAAGAGCCCAATGTATATATCTCAAACCTGTCTCAGCATAATTTGTATGATTCTAAGGAAGAGGAAGTTAAAAGTTTCATGTTTATTTCTGACATATTAACATTACATCTTTAAGTTGAAAGGTCATATTTTAGAGGTAAGTTCATGGTTTTATATTTCCTAGAGCATGTTTAAGATTCTTAGGCAAAACATTTTTTTTATTAACCTTTGCCAAGTTCATTATTAGATTCTGTAAATTCATATTAATTTTGGTCCAAGTCTCCTGCTTATCTCTGAGCCATTTCTCTCCCTTTTTGTTGTTGTTGTTGTTCCTACATGTATTTAGGTTTAAATTAACAAATATGTTCTGGATTTTACTGTAAATAAAACAATCGTCATCAGTAGTAGTCATAAAACATAATAGCTACCATATACCTTGCATAAGGCCTGAAGTTACTAGTAACCCAGTGTCTTTTTGCTCTTAATTTCCACAATGTAATCTAATTTTTCTAAGACACTACTATTATATGATTCATCATAATATACCACTTAGTAAAAACACTGCCGACTAAACTGTGATATGCCATTGATTATAAACTGCATTCCAATTTCAGAGTTGTTAAAATGTGTGTTTTAGTTTGATAAAATAGCATAAACAATACTTTTTAAAGCAGAACATATACTTACATATAAGTCTAGTCATAAATGTCCATAAAACATCATCTTAGGACATACTGCGATTAACTTTAGAAAACTAGCTTTACTCAATTAGGATTAACTCTTCTCAGGTTTTTATATTCTCTTCTAACTCTGTAAAAGGCATAAATGTTTTTCAAACAAAATTTCTAATCAATATATATACTCCTCAAGAAACCTGCAACTTCCAATTTGGGGGGGAGGACATTTTTACTCAGTTTCATCTTAATATTCCATAAGCAAGATATCTCTTAAGTGTAAGAGTTAAAGATAAGTCTCGGTAAAGCCTTTTAGTTAACACTCCAAGGAGGTGAAGGAAAATGGCCTGAACAACAAGGTCTTCAGTAAGGGTGGTTTTTAATTCCTTTTATTTTTGAGCAGGATTGAAGAAAGCGTAATCAGATTGTCAATTATGAACATTAAAAATAATTTAATGATCAGGCTATGATTTTGGTATATAACAAAAGGCATCTAAGAATTAAATGTCATTGCTATAACAAAATCATATTTATATGCATGGATGAGTTCTCAGTTTTTATATCTATACTTTAAAAATAGTAATAAAATTGTCTCATTCTAGCAATTAGCAATATACACCCTTGAATATAGAAAAATACAGCACTATTCATCTCAATAGATTTCCAATAACACTTGATTTTGTGTTTTTCATAACATTAAAATTGATATATTTATGTGATTTTTATCTTTTTAATAGTGATGAAAATCCAGACAACAGTCTTTAACATTTGGAAGTTTATAGTCATAAGAAATAGATTTTTTCAAAAATTTTTATTTCAATAAATGTATTTTTTATACATTTTGAAAAACAGCTGTATGACAGAATATCAGTAAAAGACTAAAGCATCACACTATATTAACAATGAGATTAAAAAATTACATGGAGAAATAAAATGGAAATGAGTTGGAAATTAAGTAGTGTAAAATTTCCTATTTTAAGGAGTGATGGTAGATATCAAATTGCTGTGGTATTTAGATTCAGTTAAAATGTAATGGATTTAGCTTAAAATATCATTACAGAAATAGCTTCCTTTGCAATTTGTGAAACATGATGAAAATGTTTTTATATTGACTTGAAAGTGCATAAAAGGGTACCTCATTTTTCAAAATTACTTTAAAGAATATATGACCAAAATTGTTAAAGATCTCAAACCAGCAGAAGGGAGAGAAAGGGGACCGTAGGAAACTATAAATGCAAAAGAAATCAGAGAAGGAGGGAAAAAAAAGAAATAAATGACAACAGTAAGTCCAAATATTTCAATAATAATAATGAGTCTTAAAAAGTATATTTTAAAAGACATCATATTGGAGTAGATAAATTGAATCACTCTATTTGCTGGTTTAGAAAAGAGTTATGTAGAATTTGTAAGGATATAGAGAACTGATAGACAAAATAGAGATTACAATATAGACATATTTTCAAGTATACACAAATTTTTGGTAAGTGTTCTAAATCACAGAGTCTCCACAAATTTTAAAAATTTCTTAATATGCAGATGATATTTTCTAACCAAAATGTTCAATAAATTTAAACACAAAAACTACCTTCCTTCAAAAAATATCAGTGAAACAGAAGACAAACTATAGAGAATGTCAACACAAGTAAAAGCCTATTCTTTGGATTAATTAAAGTAAACCAAGATTAATGAAAAAACACGAAAGGAAAAATATAAGCAATAGTAACCTTAGG